GATTTAACCAGGATATAGAAACTAAAAATTAGAGTTCTTAAAATTATTTTTTTGAATACTAGTACACACAGCTATACAGTGATTAAAAATGTGACATCTAGGTCCCATTATTCTAATTTTTATTATTTTTATAAGGATGTATTGACTTACTAAAAATCTACTGTCTTCCTAACACTGTCTAGCTGATGAACTAATTTTTTTTGTTGGTTTGTTTGTTTTGTTTTTCTAGACAGGTTTTCACTAGGTAGCTCAGGCTGGTCTTGAACTCACTTGCCTTGAACTCAATCCTCCTGCCTCAGCCTCCCATTTTCTGGGATTACAGGTGTGCCCTACAATACTCAGCTTCATGTACTATTAACATGGAGCAATAATGCATAGGGCAAGCTTTTCCTTTGCCCCCTCTCATTTTTTTCATACAGTATTTTTTTCCCAGAAACGTAACTGTTTGAGCTGCAGAGTGTTCTGCCCAATGTATCAAATGTTCTGTAACCATTTGAGCTGCCCCATGTTCCTACCAGACCTTTCAAGAATGTTCTGTTACCTCTGTCCCTCCCGCTTCTGTGAGCATGCTCCCCTGGTACACGTTTCAGGAATGTCCTGTAACTCCACCCTCCCGTTTCTGTGAGCAGGCTCACCCAGCACATGGGCACCTCCCCCTATAGCTGTCCATATGAGGCTGCTTCCATTTCTGCTCAGGGCTCGGGATTCAGAAAGTGGATAAATGCCTCTGAGCCAGCTGGCTAATAAAGTTTTCTCTCTAGCTCTTCAAGTAACTTTCGGATTCTGGAGTCTTTGAATTGCTGTAGCTGTAAGCACTTGAGCTGTAGCAACACTGAGCTATTCCATTTTGCCACAGCATTAATATTCTATCAATGGTCCACCTATTAAAATGGTCCATGCCTATTAAAAAGTTATTAATATTTTTAAAATGTAAAATTAACAGCTTTCACGATAGTAATGATTGCAGCATATTCCTTTTGCAAATACTCATTTTTACTTCAACCTACTAAAATTTTGACGTACAAGGGCAGAGATTTCTACTCCAAGCCACAACCAGAGCACTTAACTATGTTAGCAAGTGACCTTCCAGATACTGACAGTAAATCTTTATTCCTATGACTGACATGGTGGCACAGAATAGCTATGATTCACCTTCACTCGATGGTGTGATCAGTGATGGCCCTTTGAACCCTGACTCAAGTGCCAGAAATGATACGGAGGTAAACATTCAGCTATTTGGCCTTCCAAAACCAAAGCTAAGGCAGACACTGTAGCACTTCTCTTACTCAGAAAAGGTGAAAATCGTACAAAGACTTGGTTTTGCTTAGGAATTGTATAGATATGTATCACAGTTACAACAGCCTACCTGAGAACAGGTGTGAACCACGGGCGTGCTTTATTTAGGTTCTCTGGGAGAGAATGCGGTGGAGGGAGGCACCAGTGGAAAGACAGGTAGAAGGACCAATTGTATTTGTGATGTTTCATTCATTTTTGGTACTAGGAATTGAACTCAGGGCCTTGTACTTGCCAGGAAGGTGCTATGCTGCTGAGCTACATCCCTGGGCTATGTTTTATTTCTTTAGCAATATTTGGAACATGAATGATGGTTTTATTTCTCTCTTTTTTTCTTGCCTGAAATTTTAATAATAACAAGCTGAGGTGTGGCGGCACATTCCTGCAATCCCAGCACTCTGGCAGGCTGAGGCAGGAGGCAGTTTAGCCAGTTAGCAACACCCTGACTCAAAATAGAAAATAGAAACTACTGGGGATGTAGCTGAGTGTGAAGGCCCTGGATCAATCACCAGAAGTGATATATAATAATATATTATATAGTATATAGTATATAATAATAATAGTAACAGCAACAATAATAACAGAAGAAAAAGAAAAATATCAGAAAATGAGAAACTATTACTACTGTTAAGAATCCCATACAGGTTTAATAACCAGAAATACAACTTTTTCATTTATTAACTTTTAAAATTGGAGCACTCAGGAGGCTGAGGCCAGAGGATTACCATAAATTCGAGGCCAGCCCGGGCTACACAGTAAGTTCAAGGCCAACCTCAACTACATAGTGAGACCTTGCAAAAAAAAAAAAAAAGGGAAACTCAGTAGTTTATGATTTAATCAAATAAACAACAACCAAATCTGCAGCCTTCAGAGGTAAGAGCTCTACTTTTAGGGGTGTGTAACTCAAAAACAGCTTGTTGTAATGTTCCCCCACTTCTGTTGGCCACAGTTTTCTTTTTTTATAGTTACTAAGCACAAATTTTCTGTTTTTCTCCACAGCTCCTCACATTTCTATTGAGAAACCTTGGTGAGGAACCCCTCCCTTGTAGTTGTTTGCCATTGCTAAATAGCCGCCTCGTTTCCTGTTTTCTTTCTCTTACCTAGAGACAAGAGTGGTACAGAACAGAGGAGGATATGACAGCTAGAAGGAATATTACAACAGCAATGAAAACAATCACTCTGGGTCTTACACCTGTTTACTCATTTTCATTCTGGCAAATTCTATCGTGCAAGTAACACTTCAAGTGGGACCGGCTGCACTGGTATGGGTGGAGAAGTCATCTGGCCCCAGTTGTCCTCTTCAGCAGTTTTGGTTAATCTCTTTTCTTTTTTTTCTTTTTTCAAAACTTCCCTCTAGTCAGACCTTGAATTTGATGTTGAGCGTTGGTAATTTTGTACCTCTATAAATCTGCTTGGAGGCAGATATGTGGCCTGGAGATGTAACAATGAGTTGGCTTTTCAGAGGTGGCTGGACCTAGAGCATGTGATGCTGAGATCAAGGGAGCAATGCTAGGATTAAGGGTGTGAATGCTACCTGCCCTACCCGTGGATCAGCCTGGATAAGATAGAAGGGATGGAAGAGGTTTGTTGCTTGCTGCTTGCTGCCTTCTGCCTGCCTGCCCTGCAGTGTCCCTCTGCATGCCACCCTGCCTTTGAGCCAGCCGACTATGACTGAAATAGCTACAAACTGTGAGTCAAATAAACCTTTCCTCATTTAACTTTGAGTGTTGGGTATTTTGTCTCAGCAACAAGAAAAATAACTGCAATCCCAGAACTCAGGAAGCTGGGGCAGGAGGACTGTGATGAGTTCAAGGCCAGCCTGAGACCCTGTCTCAAAAAGAAAAAAGTAACTGAATCAGCCAACTTGGTGGGATGTGCCTGTAATACCAGCTTCTTGTGAAGCTGAGCTAGAAGGCTCGATGCCACATTCGAGGCTAGCCTGAATAACTTAGCAAAATGGTGTATCTGAATGAATGAATGAATACATTACACATACATACTTACATACATGGGGCTGGGGTGTAACTCACTGGCAGAGCTCTTGCCTAGCATGGATGAGATCCTGAGTTCAATACCTCCTACTCCAAAAGAAAGAAAAATAAAACTGCCTTTTGTTAACCAACTACTATTTGCTGTAAACAAGTAACCTGTTACTTCCAACTATAAGCACTCCAAACAAGCCAATTATAAGAGTTTCATATTTTAAAATTATTAAAATATACCAGTGTTCAAGGAGATTTGTTTTAAAGTCCAGGAATTGCTTCTTGTGCATAGAAGAGACCCCTTACAGTTAGCTGAGTCGTAAACTACTGCACAATTTATCAAACAGCTTTGAAAGTTAAATTTAAAATATCTTCCTTATAATTGGTGCCTTACTAGATAGAGACCTGTGCAAAGGATTAAAAATTATTTCTCAGAGAAGCATTTTACAGAGCTAGGTCTTAAAGAATGAAGGGGGAAAAATGAGGCAAAAAGAATAGCACATAATTAAGAAAGAAAGAAAGAAAGAAAGAAAGAAAGAAAGAAAGAAAGAAAGAAAGAAAGAAAAAATAGCACGGAGACTCAGATGCATCAAGAACATGATCCATGAGCATGTGAGGCAGAAACAATGGAGATGAGACTGGAAAGTAAATTGAGGCCAAATTGTTTTAATTTTATATAATTTAAAGTTTGTAGCATAAAAATGAGAAAGCTCTTAGAGGGTTTATTGAAGGGAGTCACATGACCATGTGGGTATCTTAGGAAAGCACTTGGCCTCTATGAGACGCCATATATTTGGAGACCTTTGCAAGTCCTCAATGGCTGGTCATCATTCTTCCTAATACTTAAGTAAGGGGATGGTCAGATCTGCAGTCAGGTGTGGGGCTTTTCCTTCAGAGCCTGATTGAACAGCATTCAGGGAAGGAGACATGCTGGTGTGGGCTGGACATGGTGAAGTGCTTCCTTTGTTACTGGACTTCAGTGAACATGGGAAGAGTAATTTACTAAAAGTAGATGATCAGATCCCTCACCAGACTAATTGCAGAGAATCACTGAGTAAGATTTAGTGACTCCCCAGAATATTCTAATGTACACTGAAGTTTGAGAATTGTTGTCCTATCTGGAAGTCCCTTCCTCCTCTTCTGTGACTTGGTCATCACTGAAGACAAAGTAGCTGCTGCATTCTAGTTGGGGTCCGTAGTATCATTTAAAATATTTGAAAAAAAAAAAAAAACATTTGGTTTTTGCTCCTGGTAGCTGGCACAGAGCCCTGAAACCCTTGGAATCTTCTGAGAGATGAAAATTTTGTATGCTACTAAGATGGCATGATGCGTGAGGGGCCTCAGTAGCTTCAGAATGGAGTCTGATCGCCAGAAAGGAGAATGAGAAGGGGGCAAGAGATTGAGTTCAGTCTTCCATGGCCAGTGTTTTAATCAACGATGCCTACATAACAAACCTCAACAACAGCAAGACCCTGAACAACACAGGCTTATGGGTTTTGTGAATGTGAACTCCTCTCATGGTTTGTTTCTAGACGTCCCCTCAAAGCCTCATACACTTACAGGTGGGGCTTTTCAGAGCCGGCTGGATTGCTGGATCTAGGATGTGTGATAGTGGGATTAAGAGTGTGTGATACTAAATTAGTCCATGATTGGAATTAGATAATTGTGGGTGGCACCACCCAAAAGGCTCATTTCCTGGATGAGAGAAAAGGGAAAGGCAGGCCAGCTGCTGCTGCTTGCTGCTGTCTTCTGCCTGCCACACCATGAACTGTTTCTCCTCTGTGATGCCCTTTAACCATGCTGCCTTGCTTTGAACCATCTGTCTGTGTATTGAAACTTCTACAGACTTCTACACACTGTGCATTGAAACTTCTACAGAGCTGAAATCTTTCTTCCTTTAACTTTAGGTGTTGGGTAGTTTGTCTCAGCAATGAGAAACATGACTAAGATAGCTTCAAGTTGGTGAACTTACACATATGCTGGGAGGGTGTGGAAGCTTTCCCTACTCCTGTACCTTGCCCTATGCATCTTTTCCATTTGTTTATTCCTTGGTTGTGTTCTTCATAATACACCAGTGAACGTAAAAAAAAAAAGTGTTTTCCTAATCTCTGTGAGTCATTCTAGCAACTTACCAAACCTAAAGTGAGGTCCTGGGAACTGCAAAATTTATAGTCAGCTGGAAAGAAATGTGGATAGCCTGGGCATCTCGTTTGTGGCTGGTGTGCATAGTGGGGACAGTCCGGTAGACCTGAGCCATTTAGCTTGTGGGCTCCGTCCCTAAGTCCAGGTAGGTAGTGTCAGAATTTAAAAGGCGTGGCATCTTTCCTCACCCGTCATAAAGGCCATGACACACGTCTCTAATAAAAGAAAAGTTAAGAAAAAAATAACATTTATTTAATCAAAGTGTTAGTTTTTTTGTTTGCTTTTTGAGACAGGGTCTCACTAGGTAGTTCAGGCTGGCCTTAAACTCACCATGTAGTCTACGCTGGCCTTGAACTTGTAGTGATCCTCCTGACTCAGCTGCTGAGTGCCGGGTTTACAGGGATGCACCATCATGCCTGGCCCTTAAAGTTTTATGTGATTCTTCAGAATGAAGATCCAAGGACACAGAGCAATCTCCCTATTTTATTTATTTATTTATTATTTTGTTTTTTTGAGACAGGGTCTCACTCTGTAGTTGAGACTGACCTGGATCTCACTATGTAGCCCAGGCTGATCTCGAACTCACAGTGATCCTCCTGCCTCAGCCTCCTGAGTGCTGGGATTACAGGCGTGCACCACCACATCCGGCTAAATCTCCCTATTTTTATGCTTAGATGAAATGAAGCTATATAAGAAAGTAGCTGGAAAGGAATCTGAGTGGGGAAACCTAGTGAGATTTGTCCTGTTGTTGTCTGTTCAGCCCCTTCCAGAATGGGAGTCTTATGACCTACTCTCAGACAAGATAAACCAGAGAATCTCTTTAGGGCAAGCTCCAAGACAGAAGTGTAATATTTTTAGGCTTACTGACTCACTTTGGGGAAAAAAGATGCTGGTTCCTATGAACTACCTTGAGGAAGACAAATTCTAGTTTCTGTGACTTGCCTAGGGGAAGAAAAGCAGAGCAAAAGACAGGAGGGCAGGAGGAGGTCAACGAGGGACTTTGCTTTATGAGGCCTGCTTCTGAAGGCTAACGTGCCTTACTTCGGATATCATTTTTTTCTGAGTCACAACAAATTATGAGACACTCAGATGGTATCACAGAATTGGTTGGCATGGGGGAAATGACACATAATTGGTGTCAGAGGAAAAACCACTATATAGGGTCCCTGTCATATTTTGTCCCCTCCTGATCTCACCTGGTCCTTGTATAACCACATTTTTTTTTTTTAAATAGAATGTGATTAAGCCAGGGGAAAGGGCAATTCTGCTGCAATTCTGTGACCTAGATTCAGGGATAACCTTTTGAAGACAAGAAGTGGAGCTTACATTTCTCTAAGCAAGCCTACCCCAGGGAGGCCCAGGCCTGCAGGCCTTTGACACTGGCTTCTGATTACAGTCTACACAATGCCTGGTAGGCAGTTCCAAGAGACCAGGGAGCAAAGGGCCTCGATTCTGGAGAAGTGTGCTGCCCCCGGGGCTGTTATCTTCTTATGACTCACTGATTGATTGCCTTGACTCTGGCTGACCTTGCCTGGGCTGTCTCTTGGCCTTTGAGCCTGGACACATGATGCCTCTCAGAACCTTCCCACCTAGACTGGAGATTACCCTAGTTCCTCTTGGCTGTTTATCGTTAGTCAAACCTTTCCTAGGGCCCAAAGTTGCTGCAATAAACTCAGCCATTTTCACATGAAAAGGCCCTGGGAACCCAAGCAAAAGCTCTGCTAAAAAGGTTTCCTATCCTGATCCTTGCACCTGAGGTTCCAGCTGTGCTGCTTTTTCAGCGCTTGTTCTCAAATCCTGTCTCCTCTCTGCCTTTTCTGATGTCTCCTTCTAAAGAAGACACACAGTTTCTTCAACCAATTTGACCTGTCTTAGTCCATTAGTGTTGCTATAGCAAAAGTACCTGAGACTGGTGATGTATAAATAAGAGAAATTTGTTTCTCGCAGTTCTGGAGACTGGGAAATTCAAGATCAGTGCTATGGTTTAGATCTAGAATGTTGCCCGAAAGCTTCATGTGTTCAGAGGTAGGGTTTTTGGAAGGTGATTGGCTCTTGGCCCTGCATATGCATCTGTGAATTAACCCAACTGATGAATCAGAGCTGAATGTGCTGTTAGAGGGCGGTGTCTGGTTGAAAGAGGCAGGTTACTGGGTGCATGACGGGAAACCCATCGCTCCAACTCTGTCTCGGGCACCTCTTCCAAGACACAAACAGCCCAAGTTCTGAGCTGACAGCCTTGGAGTTCTCCATATTCTTCATGGGAGCCAGTTCTGTGAGGTTTGGGGGAAATTTTGTGCAGCTTAAGATGCTTATCGACCAGCTCGCCACCTTCAAATGGTCTCCAACCTGTACCACCACCCTTTGGGCTCCGTGGGTCTCTCTGTCTAGACCTCTTGAAGACCTTCCCATGTTGATCCTCCAGGTCCCGGCTCTACACGTTTGAGTTCCTGTCTTCTCTCACATCCCTGGAAATCATCTGTCTCCTCTATGTTTTTAACCTGTGTTTTCACCACTATGAGTGAGGGACGGAAGGAACGAGGGGGCGCTGTGAACCCTCCAAGGTCCTAGGAAAGTATATACTTACGCACTGTAAACTCTGGAGGAAGACTGTGGCAGAATGCTCCTTATTCCCCAATGCCCTCTTTTTTAATACGATATCAATAGAATGCCTAGAATCATGATGATACATTTCTAAATTTCCTCTGCAGTTCAGTACGGTTATTTGAATAAGTTCTGACCAATGACCATGACGGACATGACACATGAAACTTTAAGGAAGGGTCTTGAAAGGAAAGTCCTTGCCTTTTGTCCAAAATTCCCTCTTTGTCTGCTCTCCCGTCCTGTTGTCTGAATGTGGACATGGAGTTAAGCCTCATTAGCCAAATGGACTTCAGACTACACCTTAGGGATGGTGAAACAAGAATTTAGAAGGAGCCTAGCTCCCACATAACCACATACCCACACTGCCGTACCCGTCTCGGACCACGTGCTGAGAAAGGCAATCTGCCCGAGCCGTGGCTATCCCTGCATGTATTTTTGGATACGTTCATACCAAAAGTGCGAGGCCCCGATCACTCTTCAGCCAGTCGTTTCTCGAGGTTAAGTTTGCAATGAGCAGCTGTGAGGGATGAGGTGACATCTTCGACACCTTCTCCCAGACAAAGAATAAGCTTGCTTACAACTCACTATAAAAAACTGAGGGGTTGGGACAGGGATTTAGCCGCCTGCCTTGCAAGCACAAGGTCCCAAGTTCGATCCCTTTTACCAAAACAAAACAAACGGGGTGGGGGTAGCTCAGTTGTAGAGTGCCTGTCTAGCATTCAGGAGGACCTGAGTTCAATCTTCAGTGCTGTCAATAAACAATTTTAGTGGAAGATCCCTGCTGTGCTGCTAATCTTCTGTGTGTGGTGTCTGCCTTAGTCTCCTCTTGTTACCGCCCTGGGTTTCTGGAGACATGGGGAACTAGCACCAGCACAGGGAAAACACTGCTCGTTATGCAGTGAGCAGTAAAAAAAAAAAAAAAATTGTCTCAGACCCAAGAGTCTTGTAGTTTTGCCAGCATACATGAAACAGTAACTTATTAACTGTTAGTAGCTCCTGACATATCTACCTTTATACTGTTTTTAGGAGAGAAATCAAATCACCTCTCTCTTTTGCAGAGGTGTGGGCTTGCCGGGAATTGAACTCAGGACCTTGTGTTTACCAGGCAGGTACTGTGTTGCTGAGCTATGCACCTGACCCAAGTGGCCTCTCTCTTAAGCCACTAATATTTTGGATTTCTATTACAGACAGTCAATCTCAACTTATTAAAGAGTAACTTCAAAGTTCGGTTTTGGCAAAAAATCATTCTCATTATATCATATTGGATATTTATATACAAAATAAGTCCATATGTTGCTTGGGGCCTCTTTTTTGGGGGTACCAGGGATGGAACTCAGGACCTTACGCTTACAAAGCAGGCAGTGGAACCACTGAGCTAAATCCCAGCCCACTTGGGACTTCTTGAGCTAGTGTCTTGTGGGAATTAGGAAGATCACACCATGCTCGATCCCATGTGGGCAGCAGATACTGAAGATACTGTGGACTTGGATCAAGCTGTCAAAATTATGAAAGTGAATTCTGTGCATTTATACGGTTATACAATTTTATAAAGTTAAATGTGATTTTCTGCCCAGGGTTATGTTCATTTACCCATGCTTTGCAGTGTGAACTTCCATCTTTTAAGGGATGCAGTCCGGATGAACTGGAGAACAAGTCCCTTGATCCACTTTTTCCTCAGTTTCTTCTGCTTGGGAGCTCTTATCCTTCATAAAACAGCAGAGTCACCGAAAATACTGAGGAAGGCTCAAACAAATTTGTGTCACTATCACATTAATCAGGAGACCAAACAGGCAAAAATAAAATAAGAATAGATGTGAAGATAAAGCAACACTGCTATCAAACCAGAACCATGGACAAAATGTTGCAAGCAACTCTGTGAGATACAGGTTGTATGCTGATGTTTCAAAATATTCTTTTTTTTTTTTTTTTT